TGTTGGATATCTCGACATAATGTGCAAGTCTCGCTATTAATATTCATTCTTTATCTTTAGACTCACTTACTGCACACATGTATTTCATTTGTCATTATTGATATTTTGGATTTCTTTAGCTTATATCTTGGTCACATGGTAACCAATGGACGAGAAAAGACTACAAATAAACTCACCTAGACTCGGACTACAACCTTGATTAAGCTGACTACTGATTCCCAGATACTGAGTATCAAAACCAAATACTGAGTACCAATTACCATGTACCAAGTACTGCGTAATGAGTAACAAGATAACCAATTGACAAGAAAAGACTACCACTACACTCACCTGGACTTGGACTACAACCTTTGGTAAGGAGTTAAGCATAATAACAACTTTCATTTTTTCATTATTGCTGATGTTTTGCTGAATGACAAGGAAAGACTACCAAATCACTCACCTTGACATGGACTACAACTGTCATTTTTCATTATCATTTGCCTATATTGACTACCGAGTCTCGAGTACCAACCACTGACCACCAATCACCGAGTGCCGAGTACCGAGTACCGATAGGGAATAGTGTGGGTGAACCCCGGGGTATGAGTAGCACTACCCCCACCCATACCCCATGATATACCCACACCCACCTTGTGGGTGTGGGTTTTTTGGTGGGTATCAGGGAGAAACTACCGAGTCTTGAGTACCAACCACTGACCACCAATCACCGAGTGCCGAGGACCGAGTACCAAGTCCCGAGTCCCGAGTCCCGAGTCCCGAGTCCCGAGTCCCAAGTCTCGAGTCCCGAATCCTGAGTCCCAAGTCCTGAATCCTGAGTCCCGAGTCCCAAGTCTCAAGTCTCGAGTCCCGAGTACCGAGTCCCGAGAACCGAGTACCGAGTACCGAGTCCCAAGTACCAACCACTGACCACCGATCACTGAGTGCCAAGTACCAAGTACCAAGTCCCAAGTCCCAAGTCCCAAGTCCCAAGTACCGAGTACTGACAAATACAATTCCCAGGTTATTTGAGCCCTACACCAATGGATAATACATACAAATACAATTTGTGTCCATTTGAAGTACCGGGTTTCAGGTTTTGACACTCGACACTTGGTGATTTGTGAAATGAGTGAAAAATGGACATGTTGTGTACATGATGTTGGGTTTCGGGCTTTGGGTCTCGGCCCTCGGCACTCGGAACTCGATGATTTGAGTAATGTAAATGAAAAATCAACATGTTGCATGCCGGGTTTTGAGTTTCGGGTTTCAGCACTCAAAACTCAGTGATTTGTACAGTGAGTGAAAAATGGACATGTTGTGCACATATTTTCGGGTCTCGGGGTTCGGGTTTCGGCCCTCGGAACTCGGAACTTAATGACTTGTGTAATATAATTGAACAGTGGACATGTTGCACACCCGGTTTTGAGTTTTGGGTTTCAGCACTTGAAACTCGGTGATTTGTGCAACAAGTGAAAAATGGAAATGTTGCATACATATTTTCGGGTCTTGGGCTTCGGGTCTCGGCCCTTGGCACTTGGAACTCGATGATTTGTGTAATGTAAATGAAAAATCAACATGTTGCATGCCAGGTTTCAAGTTTTGGGTTTCAACACTCAAAACTCGGTGATTTGTGCAATGAGTGAAAAATGGACATGTTGTGTACATATTTTCGGGGTTCGGGTTTCGGCCCTCGGAGCTCGGAACTCGATGACTTGTGTAATATAATTGAACAATGGACATGTTGCATGCCGGGTTTCGAGTTTTGGGTTTCGGCACTTGAAACTCAGTGATTTGTGCAACAAGTAAAAAATGGACATGTTGTGCACATATTTTCGGGGTTCGGGTCTCGGACCTCGGACCTCGGAACTCATTGATTTGTGTGACGTAAATGAAAAATCAACATGTTGCATGCCAGGTTTCGAGTTTTGGGTTTCAGCACTTTAAAACTCAGTGATTTGTGCAATGAGTGAAAAATGGACATGTTGTGTACATATTTTCGGGTCTCGGGGTTCGGGTTTCGGCCCTCGGAGCTCGGAACTCAATGACTTGTGTAATATAATTGAACAATGGACATGTTGCATGCCGGGTTTCGAGTTTTGGGTTTCGGCACTTGAAACTCAGTGATTTGTGCAACAAGTGAAAAATGGAAATGTTGCATACATATTTTCGGTGTAGAGAATTATGCCTCTCATGGCGTGATATGGTGCTTTACACTAGGAAGTACATAGCACGAACTTGTAGCGTCACTCTGTGCACTACCCACAGCTATCTCTATATGACGCGCAGCTTTCCCGCGCAACGCGCGCCATGCGCGCACCATTCCCGCGCTTCGCGATGTATACGCGCGCGCGCGTTCCCGCGCTTGCGCGCCCTATGGCGCCAGCCATCCAGAAGCATCCATCCACTGTCCACCAAGCTCCCTAGTGCGTATATTTCCATTTCCTTTATTAGCATAGTTCCACCTTTATTTTTATCATGCATTCTCACTCATATATATATTTACATACCTACTCGGTAGCGCTTCGGCTCCGCTTGACCGCGCTTAGGCGCGCTATATAAGCGCCAGCAGTACATACTATTACTTACCTACTTTTTCCTACTTTTCACTTACTAGTTACTACCCACTTACTACTTAGCAGAATATAGTAGAAAGCTATTCCTTTACATTTTGCACTCTTATATCTCTTATCTTGCTTTATATCACTACTTAAGCTTAGTTTCTCATTTCCGCATACGCGCGCGCACTTTCCCGCGCTTCGCGCTAATACGCGCGCGCGTTCCCGCGCCTTTGTACCTTGCGCGCTCCTGCACTTTCTCGCGCTTCGCTTAAGCGCACACTTCTAGATCCTTGCTGCACTCACTTCCCCTATAGGGTCGAACGCACTTGCTTCTCAAGTAACGCAGACTAGGCAGCGCGCGACCTTACAACTTTTACAGATACAGTCAGGAGCTTCTTTTGTTCCTCATTGTATTGTTGTTTCTACATCGGGTCTCGGGCTTCGGACTTCGGGTTTCGGCACTTGGCACTTGGCACTTGGTTATTTGTGTGATATAAATGAAAAATCAACATGTCACACACTGGCTTTCCAGTTTCACGCTTTGGCACTTGAAACTCAGTGATTTGTGCAGTGAGTAAAAAATGGACATGTTGTGTACATATTTTCGGGTCTCGGGGTTCGGCCCTCGGCCCTCGGCACTCGTAACTCTATGATTTGGGTTATATAAATGAAAAATCAACATGTTGCACACTGGGTTTCAAGTTTCACGCTTTGGCACTCAAAACTCGGTGATTTGTGCAACAAGTGAAAAATGGAAATGTTGCATACATATTTTTGGGTCTCGGGGTTCGGGTTTCGGCACTTGGCACTCGGAACTCAATGAATTGTGTAATGTACATGAAAAATGGACATGTTGCACACTGGGTTTCAAGTTTCACGCTTTGGCACTCGAAACTTGGTGATTTGTGCAGTGAGTGAAAAATGGACATGTTGAACAATGGGTTTCAGGGTCTTGGGTTTGAAAAATAGCATAATAACAACTTTCATGTTTTCATTATCATTTGCCTATATTGACTACCGAGTCTGATAAGAGACCCCTTGGATGATTCATTGCTCAATGAAATACTACCTGATTGGAAGTGTGCTGGTTATCAGATATTCATTTGTCGACTCCCGGGTCCCGGAACTTGGAAGTCGGTACGGTTGACCCAAATTTGGGTGGTCGGAACTTGGCATCTCATAGGGCAACACAAGCTTCACACCCTGGATTCCAAATTCTGCAAGACAACCTGTGCACCATCACAGGCCATGTCAGGAGATCACCTGCTGCTCTGGGAACTCAGGAACTTTGATTTATTACCTCCTCTGAGTACGGTTGACCCAAAGGTTGGTAATCGGAACTTGGCTTCTCATAGGGTAACACAAGCTTCGCACCCCAGATTCCAAATTTTGCAAGACAACCTGTGCACCATCAAAGGCCATGTCAGGAGATCACCTGCTGCTCCAGGAACTTGGTAACTTTGATTTTATTACCTCCTCTGATTTGGTTGATGTACAACTACCTCAGCTCCATTGTGTTTACAATTATGATACACATGGGCCCACCCATCTATATTTTATACCACCCTCGGCCCACCCGTCTAATACAACATCCCATACAACACCCTCAGCCCACCGGTCTAATTAATATGCATCTGGGCCCACCCATATAATACAATATTGTATAATACCCTCGGCGTCCTGGAACTCGGAACTCAGTACAGTTGACTCAAATTCTGATGGTCGGAACTTGGCGTCTCATAGGGCAACACAAGCTTCGCACTGCCATGTCAGGAGATCACCTGATGCTCTGGGAACTTGGTAACTTTGATTTATTACCTCCTCTGATTTGGTTGATGTACAACTACCTCAGCTCCATCATGTCTACAATTATGATACACATGGGCCCACCCATCTATATTGTATACCACCCTCGGCCCACCGGTCTAATACAACATCCCATACAACACCCTCGGCCCACCGGTCTAATTAATATGCGTCTGGGCCCACCCATATAATACAATATTTTATAATACCCTCGGCCCACCCATCTAATTTAATATGTGTCTGGGCCCACCCGTGAATGTGATAACAAGTACCTACCCATCTATCTCATACACATCTACCTTAATACACCCATCTGCATAATATCCAACTACCTCGGCCCACCCGTCTACCTAATATTCATGTACATCGGCCCACTCATCTACTCTATATATCCCCTGTATGGGCCCACCCGCCTCCATCGGGAATAATTTGCCTCCCAGCCCATCCATCATAGTCGAGGATATTTTTATCATGGGCCCATGGTCCGCTGGCCCGTATCATACGGGATATTATGCACGTCCATTCCCTCGTATTATACGGAAATAGGTCACTGTAATATGTGCTGATGCACCACACCAGCATACTGATACTAGCTCCTACCAGACACCACTCTGCAGCACACTGTCTAGTTCAGAGTCATCTTGCAAACTGCCAATGGCGACCACCTCATCGTTTGAACTTCCTGAGGATGCCACATCATTCGACCTTTACCTTTGTGGGGCTTCACTTAGCTCTGTGGGTTTTCCACCTATAGGCGGATGCACCGTTAGTGCTGTCAAAGGTCTTCTGAGATCAGAGCTTGATGGCAAAGTTATCGACGAGTCTAATCTTAAGAAGATGAAATTCACCGATTCCATCTTTCGTGGGCTCATCTGAACATCCTCCCTTCAGTTACAACACATCGACAAGATCAAGTACCATTAAAAGGACAGTTTGTCAGTATACACCCAAAAAAAGTGGAATTTCAACCAGAGGAAAAAGAGCAAGACGAAGGACCCAGAGAGCATTGATACAGATGCCACTGACTTGATTGACTTGGACGAAGAAGTTGAGGGTTTGGATTCTCATGGTTCAACAATCTTTTCCCAAGGGACCGATGGCACCTGGAGTGACGACAAATACAAGGGCAGTGAAAATACAGGATCAAAGAGGAAACAAAAGAAGTGTTCGACAGAGAGAGACTTACAGTACCTATTCCATGCCATTCAGTGGGCCCTGCGCAATCGAAGCAGATACCCATCAAAACTTCCCTTCGAGATCTCGCCTATCAAGCGGTACTGGTCTGCAGAGTTTGCCAACTCTCCCATACAAGACCCATACAATGCTCAGAAGCCGGATGTAGCCCTGTTCTATTACAAGAACAAACATCGGGAAAAAACATGGGCTGACGTCTTGAGCTTTGTGGAACACACTTCTAGCAACCTCGCTGTAACGCATGACTTAGCAGTGTATTGGGGATCTGCCACCAAAGCGTACCTCATCATGCAAGAGCAACCCTGGCATCGTTTCATTCTTGCTTACTCTATTTGCGCAGACAACCTTCGCGCCCATTATTTTGACCGCTCGGGGCTCATCATATCCCTTCCGACCCCAATCCATAAATTTCCCATACGTGTTACCGAGGCAGTAGCCACAACTGCATTAGCTGACCCGCAGTACTTGGGTCTCGACCCAACCATCCATATGTGCATCCCTGATTGTCAGGGTACTCATCCCTCTCTCACTGTGGGGGCAAAAGGATGGGTAATTAACAACAGCAGTAAAACTTACTCAATCATGGACACTTTATGGAAAAGTCAGGGTTTTTTCTGTCGCGGGACTGTTTGTTATCGCGTCAGAGATCCTACCAACCCGGACGGGAAGGATTATGCAATGAAGGACTGCTGGGTGCCTGAGGCAAAGAGGTATCATGAAGTGGATGTCCTCGAGCGCATCAAGGGCATTCCTAATGTCATTGAACTCGTGGATCATTGGGATGTCATGTACGATGGGGAGCCCGACTGCACAGCGTGAATTCGTAATCGCTACCAGCAGTTCGACCCAGAGGATAGGGATGATCACAGGTTCCGCAATCGATTTCACCGGCGGATTGTCATGCCCCTTGTGGAGAGCCGCTGTCAGATTTCAGCTCTAGAAAGGAGCTGATCTGTGCTTTTCGTGACTTTGTCGTTGGTGAGTTCAGTTCAGTTCGACATGTCAAATTCAAGTGTAACGATGTTATGATTTTAGCTCATAGACTCATGGTCGAACGTGGAATTCTACACGGGGACCTGAGCCTGAACAATTTCATCATCTATGAGGGTATCGGGCACTTCATTGATTTTGATCATGCTGGATTTATAGAGAAAGGCAAGGCCTCTATGATTTCATTTGGCACTGTAAGAATTTCGAGTTTACTGTTCTCACTCAGGCTGTTAATCTTATTTTATTAGGGGACCATCCCATACATCTCTATGCGTGTCCTCAAGATGATGTCCAGGAATGCCGAGACCATGAAAAAGACTGCTGATGCTAATCAGCTGCACCCAATTGAACACCATGTGTGCGATGACCTCAAGTCCATGTTTTACATCTTTTTCAAATTTGTTGCCAAGTATGGGGGGGCACATGGCATACTCGCACCGACATGGGATAAGCTGGCGATGCCATGGTCAGACGCCTATGAAAACTTAGGTGCCAGTGGTTTGCTTACCACTTTCTTGTCTAAGAAGGGAGCCATATTCAAAGGCGACTTTTTGATGGACAGAGTCTCCGAATATTTTTCAGAATTCAGACCTCTAGTTGATGAATGGCACGGTCAAATCCACCTCACGTAAATTGACACCAGTGAAACAATCATCCACGATCACATATTTCAGATGCTTGTCACGTTCATCATGAAACTTGATGATGAAATACTGGACCCGGACCCACTGCCCTGCGCTCCCTCCCAGCCTGCAACTCTTCAATCCACGGCAGGTCCTTCAGCCATGACTCTTCAACCCACTGCAGGTCCTTCGGCCCTTCCACGCACTGGCACACCATGGCCTTCATCAAGCCAGCCAGGCCCACGCCATTCACAGCGACTTGCTTCTACGACTCAGCCCGGGAGGACTACTAGATGAGATACTAGACAGAGAAGTCTCGTCACCCCGTTCCAGGTCATACCATGCTGGCATGGCTAGTTCTAAACTATATTGTCTTCTCCAAGTCTGCCTATTTTGTCCTTGCGACTTTGCTGCACCTTTTTCTTCTCGGTCTACTGTTGTAATTTTTTTAGGATGCCTCTGCGTACTGTCATAGCATTATGATTACATAACATTTGCTTACATGATGTCTATATCTACTAACCAACCTGCGCTGTTCATTGCTTTGCTGATCTCCAATGCCTCCCAAGAAGAGAGCTAGATGTTCTACTATAGGTGCTCAGGACGATACGACACCTGAGGTTGCTTGTCGACAAAGCTCCAGATCTAATCACAGTGTTGGCGGCCACGTAGCACAACTTCAAAAACCTGGAGAAGCGATAGCAGCACCCACGAAGAGTAGGAAAGGACGAAACGATTACCCTGAGCTTGATGCCAGTGATCCTGAAGAAAATTCAATGGCTCCTGCGCGGCTGTGTCAGGGGAAGAAAAGTGTAAAGTTTATTCTATTTTATTTTAACGATGTTCGAACTATGATCATATCAGGCTCCTGCAAAACCTCGGACTACAAACAATGTTCCCAAACCGAAACCTGTTCCTGCAAAACCTCGAACTATGAGCAGCAATTCTAAGCGACCCTATCAAAGGTCGGGCAACAATGTGAGAAATAACCCAGCCCACACTTCTCCTCATCCAGTGCTACATACTGTTTGCTCTTCTGACAGATTCGGGTTTAAGGCACCTACACCTACTTCCAGTGTGCAGTGCACCCAGAAGGCAAACCAGCGAGACATGAGCGAGGAAGATGATGATAGAGAGTCTGTGCACCAATCGCATGACAATATGCAAGTGCTAGCTTTTTTTTCACCTCTAGCTTTTTTGATGTACTCATTGCAGGGACAGAGCCGAAAAAAGTGGTGTAGATCAGCATGTGGACAATGGAGAGGACTCCAGTCAACATTCAGATGCACCTGTTGAAGATGGTGGTGATGATGGAAGGGATTTTGATTGAGAGCATGACTGGGAAGATGAACCCATGGATGTGGAGGGTCAAGATGATGTATTCCATTTTTTTTTTTGCTCATGTTCACTCGTTGATTATGTGTATAGGATACTTATGATGTTCTTGAACATCATCAAGCACAGAATGGACGATGCAAGGCTCCTTCACTGTCATATCTTTCGGAAATGAAAGGAAATGAACGTGCTAGTACCTCCATTCGCTCCAAGTCTCCTCGCCAACGCCCGTCTCAAAGTAGTGACCGCCCGAGATCTCATCAATGTGTGCCATCTGTGGATGCCTCTTCTGTCCAAGCGCCTACTTCCCGATGTAGACTCTCACCATCTCATCCGCCCAAACTTTACATTCACCCTAAGTCTCCACGCCAACACTCATATCAACCTGCAATGTCTATGCAATGTCCTTCATATGTGAAGTCTTCACGTTGGCGCTCCCCATCTCGACCAGTCACTTCCTCCGATAGTCGTACACAGGCCTCCTCCTGCAAACACTCTCCGTTGCGGACTTCTTCTGACCATGCCACTACTCCTAGTCATTCACTCTCTCATAGCACTACACCCGTTGAAGCTTGGTGCACACGAAATGTCAAGACAACACAAGACAACCCTTCTAAGCTTGGATTTTATCCACCTTGTTGGCAAGGCTTTCTTCAGGTGGCAAAATTACAGATGCGACTGCAAGCTGTTCTCACACATCCAATTCCAGAACACAAGGATGCTGTGCAACTTGCGCAAGAAGTCCTGGACGCTGAATTGTGGGTATGCCACCAGAAGAAGCTTAAATTCGAGGATGGTAAATTTTCCCTATCCTGCTGCTTTCTTCGAGTCTTCTCATATCTTGTTGCAAGGCTACTTCCCGGCATATAGCCCGCAGATGTGCCGGTTGGTAAGTCCCCCATTTATTGATGGTGGGCACTCTCACTGATACATTGATCAGCTCTGTGACGATCTCTTCATGTTCCGTACAGAGCTCAAAAAGGTTGTTATCTCTATAGCCAAATTGTCTTATGATATCTTTCCGAAGGGCACCTCACTGCGATCGGAGGAGATAAAGAAGCGTGTCATTGCAGCTGCCACTAAGCTACTCAAGACTGGTGATTACCTCTGGATCCCTGACTCGTCTTATGTAGGTAACGACTCTTGTTAATACGCTGACTCACTATTTTTCTCGCAGGGAAAATTCAAGAATTTTGTATTGCAGGCTCTCAAGGATGTTTGTCTCGAATTTTTCTATGGTGACAGCAAGAAAGCGCTGAAGAATACGGATGACTTCCACCAAACAATCCCTGCTAACGCGCTCATTCTCGTGGCGGCAGTCGTGCGCCTTTTTCTTTTTTCTTTTTTCTTTTTCCTTTTTCGCTGATGATTTCATAGATGAAGGGTGTTATTTCTGGGTTCAGTGAAACTGGGACCGACAGATCTCCTGAACTCCCTGCTGATAGATGCAGGACCGACTTCAACAAGTTGCGGACATCAGTTGATAAGTTGCTCGACATCCCGGAACTTCGCAAAGAGCTTGAAGAGATGCTGCAGCAATGGGCTAAGATTGGTATGGGCAAATCTGATTGGCATGCAGATGGGAGTGCAGCAGGCAGTGATGTGGACATCAATATCATACTTTAATGTGCTGTTCGATGCTCGATGCTTATTTTAGTTTGATAATCATAATGACAGTTGGCATGACTTTTGTGCGCTTGTATGGCATGTTTCCCATGTACATCTACTATTTATTCATACATAATGTAGCCTCTGCATGATCTGTGTAACTTATCTTATCTGCACAACCTGGCTTGTCTGTCCATGGTCACTATATTGTAATGACTGTACAGATTGTGGGCCTATGTACAATCCTGCAAAGGGGGGACTTAGCTGTAGGTTCTGTGAGTCTGTACAAGCTTGCACAAGCTTGTACAATCCTGCACAAGCACCCAGTAGTTTGCTGATGTGAGTCGTTTGGACTTGTCCAGACCTCCCATGTATAGTTCCCACTCATTCCCATTACATTAGAAATCTCCCATCAGTCGTCCATCTCCCATCAGTCATCCGGAGGCTCGGGTAAGTCTTAGAAGTTTTCCAGAAACTCATATGTGTATTAACAATCGGTCAGGCAACCTCCGGCAGTCGTCCAGAAGTTGAGGAGGAGTCCTCTGATGATACTTCCAGTGCTTCGGATGGTGACCCACCGGCCAATACCACATTTGATATCACCATTCCCGGCCCAGTGAGTACTCAAATAAATTCCCCTTCGTCCATCTACTAATGGATACCACAGAACAACCCCTGCCATCATTGTGTCAAGGAAAATTGGCCCTGTGTGACTCGATTGGACAAGAGGTCCAGCCTCCCCTGCTTGTCTTGCATCCGCTGCTCCACCAAGAAGATCAAATGCAACCCTGCATCTCTGGGATCCCCGCCCAAATGGACCTGAGGGAAGTCTACCACCAGCCGGACGCGTTCCAAGACACCTGCCCCTGCTCCATCCAATGCTCCGTCTCCCTCCTGGTCAAGGGCCCGAACTCGTAGTCAATCTCGTGGCCCTTCCCAAACTCCGGCCATCCCTGCTGCAACTACACCCCAGGTGCAGTCACGTGGTCGCAGCAAGACCATCACTACCAAGAAGACACCTGCACCTGCACCTGCACCTGCACCTGTTCCTGCACCTGCGCCAGCTGGTAAGTCACCCATACTTTTGATGACCGGCTGACCTAATTTTTTACTTAGCAGTCAGGTCTTCCAGCGTCGCAGTGCCTCGTGCAGCACTCAATGTTCCCATGCCGGATCTCCATTCCATGGCAATCGCGATTCGGGATGGTGCAGCTTGCATTGCTATTCTTGAGGCTTGGGTGCAGGAGCAGGACACTAAGATTGATACCCTGCAATGCCTCCATGAGAGCCTCCGGCGCACAGTGGTCGACCGGCACCCTTCATTTTCACTTCCAGACACACCGACTGATGGATTAATGTTGCTTGATCAAGGAGGTTCCCCCATCCATGTCACCCCTCCCCTCCGCACTTTCCAACCTCATTGATTTGGACTTTTCAGTCATGGAACCTACACCCTTGACGCCTGAGCATGGATCTGCTATGGTAGGTCCCATGGTTGAGCCCACCCAAGTTCAACCTGAGGGTCCACAATCCTCCGGCGAAATTGTTCTCCCTGATGAACCAGGCAACCTCCTGCCAGAATTCCCCAGCGATATTGTGGTCCCTAATGAACCAGGTAACCTCCTGCCAGAATATGATTCTTCTGATGAGGAGATGGATGTTGAGGGAAAGGTTGATCTTCCTGGTGAGGAGGTTGACATGGCTACATAATTGCTCAGTGATAGATGTACATAAATTTTTTTCCATGCATGTTACCTATGCCACAATTGAATCATTCAATGATCACTCCCGATATCCAGAACTCGAAACTGCAGATTGAGATAGATATCACCTGAAACCTGAACACCCGAATGTCAAATTATCAGTGCCGAACCCCGAGTCCCAGGTGCCGGGTACCGAGTCCCGACACCCGGAACTCAGGATTTGACATTTTAGACGAACAACATCTTCCAGACATGCTTAAATCAACCTATGTATATCTGTAAACATTTTACTAACCCCCAAACCCCAAACCGAGATGTACCAACCCCCAAACCCCAAACCCCGAGAGTGCCGGGTCTCGGGTATCGGGTGTCCGGAACTCGGAACTCAGGGAAATTTGGGGAGATCAATACAATTTAATTTACAATCGAGTTGATTGACAACACATTGACTTACCCATGTTTGCAATATATTTTTGTTTAGACATACCGAGTTCTGAGTTCTGGACACCCGAACCCCGAAACCCGAGACTGCCGGGTCTCGGGTCTCGGGTGTCCGGAACTCGGAACTCAGCATGTCTAAACAAAAATATATTGCAAACATGGGTAAGTCAATGTGTTGTCAATCAACTCGATTGTAAATTAAATTGTATTTATCTCCCCAAATTTCCCCGAGTTCCGAGTTCCGGACACCTGATACCCAAGACCCAGCACTCTCAGGGTTCGGGGTTCGAGGGTTGGTACATCTCGGTTTGGGGTTTGGCACTGAAAATTTGACATATATATTTTTGTGAGTGTTGTGCGCTTAGAAATAGGATTTGTTGCACACCAGGGTTCAGGTGTGGGGTTTTTCCACTTCAGTCCTGGATTATTGGTCAATGCCACACATGGTTGATTCATGTTTTTGTGCTTAGGGGTTTAGATTTGGTGGTCGATGGTAGGTATATGCACTCATAGTGTACATGTATCCTATGTGTTTGATTTGCTGGTGGCTACATCAGCTGTATGTCTTGATGGAACATATCTAGGCCCACCCATATATGTAATACACCCCCGTCGGCCCGCCCGTCTATGTATTATCCCCCATGTCAGCCCACCCATCTATGTAATACATCCTATGTTGGCCCACCCATCTATATAATACATCCTACGTCAGCCCACCTGTCTATATAATTATACCCCACCTCGGCCCACCTGTCTATGTAATAAATATTTTATCGCACCCTCGGCCCACCAGTCTATTTGATATCCCTTTCGTCAGCCCACCTGTATATGTAATACACCCTACATCAGCCCACCCGTCTATGTAATATTCCCCTACCTCGGCCCACCCATATATGTAATACACCCACGTCGGCCCGCCCATCTATATAACAATATTTGCCTTACATCTCTCTTCAGCCCAGCTGTCTATAATATCCTACTTTACATATTACCCAGATGGGCCCACCCATCTCCATGAATGATCATATTCCCCCGGCCCATCCGTCAACATTAAGGATATATATATCATTGGCATACATGGGCCCACCCGTCTCGATCGGAAATAATATGTGTCCCGGCCCATCCATCATCATCGAGAATATACACAACATGGGCCCATGATCAGCTGGCCCGTCTCATACGGGATATTATGGAGGTCGGGTGGCCCATATAATACGGAATTTGTCACTGAAGGGGCTCTCTTGATTTGGGCGCCTTGGAGCATGACAGCAACAGCAACCATCTACTCCAAATCTGTTCGCAGTACCACAAGTTCCTTCTCATTCTCAAACAATAAGAATCAAATCAAGATGAGGATGTCCTGGCATAACTTTGAGGCAAATGAATAGCGGTGATTCCATGATTCCAGTATCTTGATAGCCGATCCCAACCCATGGGATGTTTGAGGAATTTCTCGGGAAGATGAACAAAACAAAAATCTGTGTGATTCTATACCTGAATTCCGAAGTTGACTGGCTAGTGAAATGAGTTAAATTGGTGGGTAAATGTCTTGAAGATCAAGAGTGCCAATAAATCCGTCAGATTGTGCAACGGGACATTTTCATTGTATGGGATTGTAGTTATCTATGCCTCAAAATAACCATTATGAAACAAACAATTTTGCTTTAAATTAAACCTCTTTTCAGACACGTCTCCTTCCCTTCCATCTTGCTATACATTTCATTTGTGTCAGGGAACACTTTGGAGTCGGAAGAAGAAGTTCACAAGCACTTGCCTCTTAATAGAGAGGAGGTTGCTGTTCTGGAGTCCCATCTGGAGCAATGGGACAACACTTCGGGTAAAGACAGAAACAAGGTCTGGAAGGACACCACTACGGAGGCTCGGCTGAAGGCACCCAAGATGGATGCTGCCAAGCTGAGGTCAAGGAAGACTGTGAGTGCCTTGTTCAATCGACTTGGGGAATTGAATTATCAATATTGTTCAGCATGCAGATCTACCGGAAATGGTTACAAAACCACGGTGAAAAGAAGGATATAAAAGCCCCTATCAATCTCGGAAGAAAGTGGACGTACCAGATGGTGGTTGGCGCTCTCCGGAAGAAGGAGATTCTGAAGAAGATTGAGGACAAAACTGGTGTGAAGGCTGGGGAAAAGGATATGATGAAGTATTACTCTAAGTATCTTGCGGACATGGTGAATTCTCTCACCGAGATTGAGGTGGAGGAAGCTACCGAAAAGGCTGTAGAGTGGAACAAACAGGGAGTTTCTCCCGATGTTCAGGCGGATACGGCAAGACAAAAGAGTGAGGACATTCTGCGACATGTTGCTGCCAAGATGTTCAAAAAGGCAGGAATGCAGCTGTTCATACTGTCGGCTTGGAAAGGCAAAGAAGAAAAACTAATGGTCTTGAGGTAAGTCACCAACTCAGCATATTTTGGACAATCTCAGGTCTAGTCAACTGACAGCCACGACTTCAACGGAGAAATCGGTAATGGAGAAAGTTTTACCGACACTCACGACTGGAAGGATATAGTGCCAGAATGGAAGTCTTATGCATCCAAACAGTTCGGTGAGTTCTCTGGGAGCTCTTTTCGGCAATCAAACTGCGCTAATGGATGCTGGATGGAAAGACAAGGAAGTAGACTCTGATGATACCCTGGTGAAAAAAAGCAGAAAAGACAAGATGTACGTCCTAAAGATAGGGGATGATGGGTTTCCTGTCCTTCCGGACCATACACAGATGGATTCAGACACCCGTAAGGTGGTCGTCCAAGCCTTCTTGAATTGGCATTATCGTAAGTCAGTCTTGTGACATGCTCGGCTGTTCTCACATGGCTGATAGAGGATTGCATGGGATGGCCAAAAGAGGTGGTGCCATGGAAGGAAGTAATACCGAGGCAGGAGGAGCTTATCCCACTGCCGTATCTTCCCGATGGAAGAAAACTCTGGGAGCCCTCTCAGATGAACAGACAAGAGGCCACCGAGTTATTGAAATTCTGGCACGACTGACAGGAGGCCGGCCGAGATGCAACATTCGAGTTCAACGGGTGGTGGAGTAAATCTGACAAGGAAATCAAACCTCCCATAAGATGGCCTAAGGAGTGTGATCAAGATTGTGAGGATGAAGAGCTGCCGAAACTGGTCAGGAGGTATGCAGAACAGGCGGTCGTCCAATCAGATAGTTCAGGCGATGATGACGACACACCTCGTACATGGACGCACACGGCCAAACAAAGAAGTAGGCAGCTGATCATGAAGTCGCGAGGTAAAACAAAACCCGAGAAGGCTTCTGGATCATCAAACAGTCGTCAAGAATTCGCATGGGAGTTGGTTGGAGGGGATGTGGCATCCAATATCACAACCAGGCAGCCAGCAAAAACGCGCCTCACACAATCCACTGCATTGCATAGCATCTCAGAAGCTGTGGACACGACGCTGGGAGTGGGAGTGCCAGAGCCATCGGCTTCCCAAGCACCGCCGACGCCTTTAGACAATCCTCGGAGGGTAGGACCGGCATCTCGTCCTGGGGGGAAATTACGAAAGAATTTAGCTGAGTGCTCGGACAATGTTAACAAGGAAGCGGGTTCCAAATATACTGCCGATAAACTGGATTGCAGGAGGTGACATGGTCCCAAAGACAGGCTAGAACAACCGAAGGAGAAAAGAGTTCGGTTGAACACTAAAGGTCGTAAATGTCCTGCCGAGGATTCATGGGATGACTCCCCCGCAAAACGCACAAGAAGCAAGGCATTGGATCTCCTTCCCAAAAGATCCAAAAAGCCGAACTCCAGATATGCAGCGAATTTCATCAGGTCATAAGTGTTTGCTAGGAATGGTGATAATGTTGGTGTTGCATATGAAACGGACTGTTGAATTATATCTGACATAATTTGAATGTGAATTATCACCGGCCGTATATTAATGCATTGGAGTATACCACCTCAATATCTGGCATAATTCAATTCAACAGACCAAGACAATCTGTATACTACCGACACTCCCATAATATAATTGCATCTAATCATCATTATCTTCCAAAGATGCTATGACACTATCAACAGTTCTTAACAGCCGACGCTGAAGCTGAATCATGCCGTGCAACTTGCAGATGTCCAGGCCCACCTCAGTGACTCGGTTTCGCAAGTCGGCAAACATCCCAAAAATCTGCCTGTTGTCGAAGAGTATTTGATCAGGAATGCAGGAGTCATTCAATCCGTAGACGGCATTTTCAACAATTGCACGGACATGTTCATTGGCTGCAGATCGATTAGAATGATGGTCGCCGTATAATACATCAGACTCACTCATGTCATTGCCAATCGCCTTCATGAGACAATTCATCTGGAAGATGTTGTCCTCGGCCTCCCTCGCATGAATCGACAGAGATGTACTGTGAACATCCATATCCATCCTTATGGGTGAACAATGCCCAGATGTTGCTGTCGGAAATGTTCAGTTGATGTTTGAAAAAATCAGATGCATTTACCTTTTCTTCACCATCGGCCATAGATCCCCATCCAAGATCATAAACAGGGGAATATTCTTCAGTCAAGTCCATAACTTCTTCCTCCATTGGGAGCCATGCAGAGGGTTCAGGTGTCTCATCTATGGTCAGATCAATCACATCATTGTCCATTGCCGCCGACTCTACCATTGTTGCCACCCAGCTGAGGTTGTATGCTGGGTCGTCGTTGTCATCGGTGGCTTCGGCTTCCTCTGGCAACATCGTGGGACACGACCATCTGAGATTGTATACAGGGTCCTCTTCGATCTCATCCGCAGGTACTACCGATGGTGGTATAGGGTCCAATGTCCAACCGAGATCGTAGACAGGACTTTGATTGATGCCATCCGCTTTACAATGTTCTATTAGCCAAAGATACCGACCGACATATACATAAACCAACTTACAAGCACTTGTGCTGTCCAAGGATGGCAATCGGGCATGCGTAGCCGAATGATCAATCACAGATAGAGTCTGATACATCAATCCACTCCATCCGAGATCATAAATTGGCCCATTGTCTGCAAATCAACAGGGTCAGTCATCCCATCTGGACACGGACTAAACACTCACCAGCAGTCATACCTTGTTCGGATGGTGGTCTGACCTCCTGTGAGACAGAAGAAATGCCATCCCACCCAAGATCATACAATGGACCATCGCAGTCCATCAGCTCCTCCTCATCTATAGACTCGGTCGTTGGAGGTGATCCAACCAATGGAGGTTGAGATCGGGACTTGACCCAATCATCTTCGAACATTACTGAAAATATATCAATAAGTGAGAATGTAGACATCAGTTTACAGAAAATGTTTACCAGAGAGTTCATGAATGGCCTCCTCCACTCCGGCGAAGTTGCGGTCGTAGATGTCCAGAGTTGAATCTCCCCAGGCATTATCCGGACTGTCGATCCGAGTTTCCGGAGTCATATTGTATTCTGGCATTGAATTAGCTTCCAAATGCCATGAACAAGATCTGCCGAAGAAGATACTTACTTCTAAATGGCAAATCCTTAAATGTATGCTGGATGTTCGGCGGTGTCCACTGGTCCATGGGTACAAAATTACCCCACCATTTTGCCAAGGCTGTCTTTCGTAGATCACTGGCAAGGGACTCACCGACCGAGGTAGTGTCCAGCTCTTCACTTGTCAATGGCATCGAAAAACGGACTTTTCGGGGTGACATGATGCAGGGATTATGTTCGCGATGTTCGGGTGGGGAATAGGTGGGTTAAATAGGGAACAGGTGGTGCGCAATAGTTTGAAATGTGGATGTGAATATATGGTCGATGATGTCAGACTTCTTCACATTATTGTTCGATATTTGTCGCGGCAAGAGCTGAGATTTCAACATTATGTGGCGCCATTACATCTAAGAACAATGGCCATGAGGCATTGGCAAATTCTGTCAGCACCGCTGTGGCCCAAATTGTTGTTCCCTATATATACTGTGTCCAAACTTGGACTCTACCTTTCTCCCAAACTTTGATATCCATTACCCATACCCGCAACCACTTTACTTTTGATACCCGCTACATTCATCATGTCAACCTCCGAGTTTTCAAACCAGGCGTTGAACACCATCACTGACAAGATTTTGCTCCTTGTCAAAAGGTCGCAAAAACTCGCAGAAGACAATCCGGCTGCTTTGACTTTGGCACACAAGATTGCCATGAATTTGGTAAGTCATTGTTCAAAGTTCCTGTTTTGATCACTGGATTAACATACCTATTCTAGGCGTCTGCATTCTCGCAGCACAGTCGCACCGCCACCACCATTGTGCTGATACTCTTGTCCTGCGCTGCTGAGATCAGGGACAAGAGCCTCAATGGGAGGTTGAAGGGGCTGCCGGACTGGTCGTCGATATCAGATGATGACGTCCGCATCCACACCCATCCCCTATACCCAAAGACTCTGGGATACCAACTCCCACCCGCATCTACAACTGCGCCGGGACCCATACCTGTGCCGGCTCCGTCGTCGGCAGAAGTCTCTGTCAAAGAGCATGCTGCCTTGCCAATCGTGGCACCTCCCATCACCGAGAGGAAGCACAACCTTTTTGTGCAAGGTACTGTGACCAAACGGAAGGCCAGCATGTCAGAATCCGAGGACAATGACGTCCCAAAGGTCATCATCCGGAATGCCAAACCGTTGAGCAAGACTCGGTTGGATGCCGGTAAAGCCCCACCGAGGAAGAAGATGAAGCCCACACAGGCCAAATCGAAGAAGGTCGTAGTCGAGGAGGATTATGACAACATCCCAACTCATGATGTCATTTTTGTAAAGATATGTGTCGTTATCTCACAGTCCCACCTTAACTAACGTGCAAGTCAGAGAAAACCAACAGTTGGACCTAGTAATCAGCCCTCGATAGTGCAAGACCGCTTGCTTTCTAAAGCCGAGGTATGTTTCATACCAAAATCTACATAATCTCATGCTAACATTACCAGTCTTCTTCAGAATCAGACGCCGAGGATGCCGTCTCTCCTGAAGAGACGTCATCTGCCCACATCTTTGGCATGCCATGTGAATGCTGCATCAAGGACGATGTTGCTTGCACCGCTGTCCTCGCCAAGAAATCTGGCAAGGTGAGGAAGACATGCAGGAACTGCGATGGCTGAAAGATCAAATGCTGTCGACTGGGTCCTGAATGCAGCGCTGTCCTTCGAGGCGAAGTCGCCGCACGCAAGGCCAAGGCAGCTGCAGCTGCCGACAAGAAGGCAAAGAAGGCAACAAAGAAGACCGACACACTGGCTTCTTTGCTGAAGTCGATCAATTGACCCAAGGTGCCCATAAGTACACGGTCGACACACTCCGTGTCAAAGGCCCAGCCGCAATCTCCACCATCACCGACTCCTCATGCGGAGTCGGACGAGGATGCTGATGGTGACAGTGTTCTTGATGTTGGTAAGCACTTTGTTGTGTTTATTTTGGTTCTTGGTATTCATTTTTTTTTAGAACAAGCAACAGCTGCACTACTTTCCCTGGCCGTTGCACTCCCATCATCTCCTGCGAAACATGTTAACGCAGAGTCTCGTCCAGATATTGGTATGTCTAATTTTTTCTTTGCATTTCCACATTAACGTTGTGTGGTAGAACATCTGCAACAACCGGCACCTGGTCCTGCAGACTTCGACGTTGACATGGGCATTGCCTTCGACCACGCCGAACCATCTCCTCCTCGGATCGTGTCTAATAACCCCATTCTGCAATCCGCGGAACAGCCGACAAATCGGGACCTGCTCCTCCAAATTGACACTCTTGGCAGTAAGTTCGAGGCGTTGTTCAAGACTTCGGGCAATTGCACCAATGCCCTTCATGAAGAGATGGATTCAAGGTTCACTGCCTTGGATGACAACTGGGCTGTGAAGTTCGTTGCGATGGAGGACAAGATCCGGAGTGTTGAGGAGAGGGTTCGGGATGTGGAGATGAAAACCTGCGGCAACGTCGCATCGATCGGATACATGGCCAACGCACTCAAGGCCATGAAGATCCCCCGATATTCGATGTCCTTCGACCCCCCTTCTGCAGGGCCATCCGTTCATGGACACCCATATGGCCAGATACCCGGGACATGGCTTCAGCCCCCTTTTGCAGCCCCTCAACCTTTGGATCTGAGTATATTGGAACTTGGCAAAAATCTCACCACTGCTTGGGATTTGTCTGTGGCTCCTCCAGCAACTGCCAAGAATATTTCTGCCTCCGCAGGGCAAGGATCCCTTGATCACCACAACTTGAGCGGGTGCTCTGACCTATCTAGTCTCCCAACTGGTGGGTCCCCTCAAAAATAATTTGTACTCTGTAGTTATATATATATTACATACATGTATGCTTACCCACTACTTCGCATGTACATTTACTGTCATTGACCAGCGTCATGACAGATTAAAATAGAGTCATGCAAAAGGACGCCCATGGATATCTCCTGAATATATAAGGCTAGTAAATCCTCGGTAGTGACGTCATAGTTGGGTACCCTTGGGATATCCCAGCTCTTCCTTATTATCCGGTCCATCCTTCAGTGGTTATTTGATATATGGAAATAACTATTTGTGATGTTATATAGAATCTCGGTCATGTGGATTCTGCAATTTTGGCACATCTATCGGCATGTGAATGAGTGCGGTATCCATATATCCGGATATAATGCCAACATGACCTACCAAAATACCGATGTAATGCATTCCGGTTTGTATTGATATTTTGCGCTTGAACATGGCCGGGTCGCATTCATCCACTTGATTCTCACCTTGGGTCTACCGATATTCTGATTGTGTACCGTATACTGAAATATCTCGGCCTGCTTGTATCCACTGATATGGTGCTGTGATCCCTTGTGAATAGGCTGATATATACACCCTGATGTTATTCTAGAACACACCAGGCCATTTCCTGTCCGCTGCACTCATAATCTCGGTACACCTGAACATACAGATATTTGTGCTAGAACATAACTGGGCCCCCTCGTGTCTACCGACATCCCAACTCCATGCCATGTACTGACCTACCTGGGCCCACTCGTGCAGGTACCAATCCCATGCCATGTATTGACTTACCTGCCAGGCCTGCCATATATACTGAAATACTGAACCCATGTCATGACCAGGCCCACTTGTGTATACCGTGATTCTGATACCATACCTTGTACTGACCTTGTCAGGCCCAGCTGTGTCTACCGATATCCTGATCCAACGTCATGTACCAGGCCCACTCGTGTATACCCTACTTATATTACAATACCATCCCATGCACTGTATGCACTTGAGCCCATTCGTATCTGCCAAGATCCTGATTCTATCAGTCCTGATTCGGCCCATCTGTATATACCGAAATTGTATTATATACCACATACTGGCCCGTCCGTCAATATCAAACAGCAATATTCATGTAGGCCTGACCGACTCTTACAGCACTCACTTGCCATTTGGGCCCACCTTAGATGACCCGTCTCACTCGGAAGTATCTCAACTTCGGCTGTCTGTATAATACAGAAAATCTTTACTGAATTATGTGGTGTTTCGCCGTGGCTGCAAAGCTGAGCTGCATGATGGGCAGCGCTGGTTGGTGACGAAGGTTCGTGGGCAGCGTGGTATGATTTTATATTTGTCTTTAGAGTTTGACAGTTGGCAGCTGTATAGTTTCGCATTTACATAGTTGAATTTTACTAGCACCTGTTTAGCATCCATTCGGCGCCCATTGTGACTAATACCCACAGTGCGGGTACGGGTAGGGGTAGGGGTATCATGACCTCAGACCCATACCCATACCCCAGCGGTACCCGTACCTGTGACCCGTGCAGGTTACTCGTACCCACGCAGTTCCCTAGTTATAGCTGACATAGCTTGCTCATAGCATATGACTTATTGTATATACTCACTGTATATTTAGAACTTACTGTTACATAGTCTATATAGCACTCATAATTTCTGTAGTGCATGGTCCAGATACACAATACATGTAGTGAACCTATTCTGTATTATAGTGGCTTGAATGTCTGACATAAAGCATATCAAAACATATATAGCACCCATGTTCTGTGTTATTGGACATATTCTACTTGTCACATCGTTGAAACAGTAAAATGGCAGAATAAAATATCAATACTTTGGTGAGTGGGGCTAATCCAAGATGAGGTAATACTAGTCCTTACTTTTCAAATAAGTGGGCCAGCCTATGAAGCTTATGGATCACTTCGGATACTGTACTAGTATGTTGTCCTGTTGGCAGAAATCACCATGACATAGCAACTTGAAGATGTCCAACAATGATATTCAAGTTGCACGCATGGTTTGACAACGATGAATCACTCCTCGTCGCCAAACTACGTGTACAACCTTGTAGGTGTTTTATAGATGCGTGCAAGAGTAGGTACATCCTCAAGCACTATTGAGCCTGTACTAAACGACTGATCAACTCATCTTCTGTCGCTTGGCGCAAAGTTGTGATGGGGTCATTGAAAGTTGTGTTCCTGCCAGGCCACTGGCTGGGCGTTCAATTTAACTGAGCAACAATCTTGTCCAGCATTTCAAATGCTTGTCCCAAAATGCTTTCTTTTCTAGGCGTCACTTGTGCTCTAACAGGGAGCAAAATTCCTGAAGGACAGCTGAGCTGTCCTTCAAAAGCAGAAGTCAACAAAGAGAAATGAATCATGGATGTGGAGATGTGACTTATTTAGGGGAAACTAGTGTTCTAATGACAGTTTCACAGTGGCAGATTCACTTCAATAAAACAAGAGTTGCAAGTGCATACTCACTTCATGAGTCACCCAGGCGGTCGGGGGCGTTGATATTGAGCTACAAGCCAAAGAAGTGTCGAGAAGCTTGGTGACTTATTATGATCCCGCTTGTCTCTGGTGTTGAATGACAAGTAGAAGACTCCAAGAGAATTGTTGGAATAGATTATGCGAGGTGTCGAGACTAGGGAATGAGCTGCGCATAAGGTAGCAAAGTGAAGGACATCTCTACTGATGTTGAATAGTCGGAAAGTTGTCCTTGACAACACCAAACATGCCTCGCGTCTCTGGTGTTAAACGACAGGTAGAAGACTCCGAGAGAATTATCGGAATAGATTATGCGAGGCATCGAGACCAGGGAATGAGCTGCGCATAAGGTAGCGAAGTGAAGACATCTCTACTGATGTTGAATAGTCGGAAAGTCGTCCTCGACAACACCAGAAATGCCTTGCATCTCTGGTGTTGAACGACAAGTGAGAGAATCCAAGAGAATTATCGGAATATATTATGTGAGGCATCGAGACCAGGGAACGAGCTGTGCATAGGGTAACAAAATGAAGGACATCTCTACTGATGTTGAATAGTCGGCAATCTAAATCAGCAGAAAAGCCTGGCTTCTCGCATGATCCAGATGAAAAACACAGAACAAGTTTGTAGAGTGAGGTCCACGAGGTCCAGTTTGCCAGTGTGATGATCCTGAACCGTGGTTTGGGTTCAAGGGCTCAGCACACTGTAGGGACTGATTCCTGGCTGGGCTTGCAGAGACTGTTTTACCTATAGTTATGTTTGCACCTTAGCTTACATAAGAAAGTCACCTTTTCACTAGTTCCACTATGAGTCTGAGAGATCAGCAAGTTTATATCATATTTCCTCTCCTCTGAGCCTTGAGCCTGGTCCAGAAACCCTTTAGGGTCGAATAGTAGCTAGGTTCTGCAAGACCCAACATATTGTTCAGAATGACCATCTGAATTGTTGTACCCACAGCGCTCGATGGTGACAGGGAGTTGGACAAAGCTGTAAGAGACAAATTCAGCGTCATGGTCGCCTCAGTGTACACCAGTGCCTCCGATTGTTCTTTTACCTCATCAATCTGGTCCTCATCAACCCTCACCACATTCACCAGCCCTCACTCATAATATGCAGAACTTACAATCGACATCAGCTCTGTTACCCTCCAACGAAGGCTTGCACCACATCCGCAGTGCCTATGGGGCAGATGTGTGTCTAATCATCGGACCACCTGTGAACCTCCCAGGGATTACATTCCCAACTACCCCAGCCATGCAGTGGACATGCCAGCACTGTGTTCTGGAAAGGACAAGGACAACTGAGATGCTGATGTCTGCTGGGCTACACACAACTAGCTACAAACAAAGTCCCCCAGGGACTGCAGAACCCCCTGGCACCCCTGCCTCTCGCTCTGCTGTCTCCCACCGGCCTGTCTCTGCTCTGCTCCTGCGCCCGACACGACTACACCTGACAAGGTGTACCACTACATCTTCCCCCAAAAAAAAATGCAACACTCCGGGGGCGCCTAACATACTACTCGTCGGTTTCGAGATCTTCTGCAAGTTCTAGTTCTTTGTCTAGCGCTCCCTGCAAATCTTGCCACTCCTCTTCATATTCTTCTTCATCTTCGATACCCGGGCTGTTCAACGTCTCTTGCAGCATTGCGAGTGTGGTGCTGTTTCTTGGTACAAATCTGTGAAGGCGTCTTGCATGGAATAACCCACTGAGTGGGAATCCTTCCAGAGTGGCTAATGTGTAGGAGTTGCCGACTTTGGTAACAACACATTGTGGAGCTGACCATCGTGGCTGTAGTTTGTGCGCCAATGCCATGGTGAAGTCTAATGCATTAGCATAGACTTGAACTAACTGTCCTTCTTCAAATATTACTTCACCTGTATGTGACTTGAGAACTTTCTTGTCGAACATAGCCTTTCACTGTGCTGTATGAGCAACCGTATGATCTGCTCCATCAAGGCGTTGTTGATCCACATAGGCCATGTGTATGTCAACTTCTGTTTCGCTCGGCTCTCTCACTGCATCGTCTATCGGTGTAGGAATGGTGTTGACGACAAGGCCTAGCATAAGTTCTTTAGGTGAAAACTTGAAGGCTGGGATGATGCGCTCGTTCAATTGACGAATGGCATTGTCGAAGTGATCTGGCCATGTTCGAGCTAGACTCTCTGTTTCCACGTTCTCATATTCATCTTCCCCTAGACTTGGGCTGCATAACCTCTTCAAATGTCCTAACAATTTCCCATTAGCATTTTCCACCAAACCGTTCACCCATGGTGCATATGCCGCTACTACATGGTGTTTGGTTCCATGAGCTTCACACCATGTCCGCACGTCCCCATTGTCGAAATGAGATCTGCCATCTGTCATGAATATGTCCGGTGCTCGAAAGGTATTTGAGATAGTTTCGAGTCCGTCGACTGTTGTCTGCATGTTTCCGTGTTTTCTCAATTTGAACCCCCACACGTATTGTGAGTATGTGTCGAGGACTAGTAGGACATTATGATACCCGTTTTTCCCTTTCGGAAGAGCTAGGTA